TGCATAAGATTACCTTTTGGTAGTCAAGACTTAAGTAAATTCAATCAAATCGTAAGGCCTACACACATAAGTGTATTAAAATTCAACTATCCGTTCTTCCTCATTTTGTGCAACCTAGGGTACGTATGGCTCTTGCTCAGTGAAAGATCTCATACCATTTGAGCCAAATTAACCCAAGCTGAGTTTCTTTTACTACAATTGGAGAGATTTTATACTGTTGGGAAGCGTTTTCGAATTGGCATCACTAAGTAGATTGATGAGAACTCTAAAGCTATTTGTGTTTAAGTACTGGCAACTTTAACGCAAACCACTCCAAGCCGTTAATTCGATTATCGCCCAACAAACTGGAGCATTCTAGTACTACTTTCTAAGAAGTAAAAACATATTTTTTTACACTTTTATTTGGTTCTAGTATCGTTGTATAATATTTTTCCACATTTCAAGGTATTTAATGATGGCACTGACCCGCAAATCATGATATTCCTTAGTAATCTCGATCAGAATTTTATTGTATTATTTAGGCTTTCGTACCCAGCTTTTACTTCTACTTTATTTTTCCTAATATAGCCAAGTTAAAGGATCCCGTCTTAGATGCTCCTTGGATGCAAGTATTATCATTACGTACTTTTATTTCTCGCAAGAATAACCTGATCTAACTGGCAATTACTGTGAGTATTGGTTCACAAGCGTATTGCCGAACCATAGAAGGCTAATCTTGTGACACTTAAAACATTGGTCTCGGGTTTAGGAAGACAATTTTAGACTCAAAACAAGGAGTATTAATATGTGATGAACAAGTGAGAAGTTGGGGCATCTGGCAGCAGGCAAAATTCGAAAAATAGCGTATTTTATCAGTGTCACTAAAAGTGTATGAGGATCAAAAAAGGCAAGGTGAGACATGGGTAAGTACAAGGGAGCAAATCCCATTTCAGTATGCTCCTTTCAAAGTCTATGAAGCTGTATGTGACCTAAATGCTCTACAAAGTGGTAAGGATAGTTACTCTCGCAAACAATTAGCGCAATAGTGCAAGAACAACAGAAAGGAATACCTGAAGAGCAAAACTTGACTCTTGGAGTGTAATTGGTATATAGTTTGTCCGTTAATAGAACTTTTTTAACAGCTTTCAGGTGCCAGATAATTGCTAAACAAGACTGTAATTAAGACCAAAATCAACAACTCATAAAGTTTAATGGATAAGCTTGTTTGCCTTATAAAATATGGTAAGTAAGGATAAGTTTACTTTGTCTTGAAGTTCATCATTTTCTTGTAGATACGAAGAGAAATTGGGTTTTGTTGAATCTCCTAAGATAACATTGTTGGGGTGAATTTCATTTCGCATGAACGTGCATGACTAAGAGACTCGTAGGTCGATCTCACCAGAAGAGGACGGATGAATCCCGTTGTATCGCAGCCGTTTGTCTTTCATATGACTTTTGTCTTTTTTCAGAGCCATCATCACATCGGCTAGGTTACCTTTATATATACGAATAAAATGCGGGTTTTTAAGAATTGATGTGAAGACTTTCATGGAAGTACATGATGAAGAGATTCTCAGTGATAGAGGTCGGCTGATTTCCGCTGTACTGCAGCCGTTTGGCGTTAATACTATGGTTAGGTCGATGCAGTTCACGAGACATCTTCCAATGTTTTAGGCGAAGACTGGCTGAGCATTCGTTCGTCATGTGGCGAACACCGTCAGAGGTGGGACTCATTCTTGCAAAAGCCTTAAGTTAACACTAGGTCAAGAAGACTCGGTGAGGACAGAAATGGTATTCGATTGGAATTAAAGTTGATCTAAACATGTTCATTATGTCACTAAACGCCTGAGACTAGACTAGAAGGTAATTTAGTGCGCAAATAAGTGTTCGGCGCAGTATGTTAAAACATGTGATATGGCTCTTAAAGCATGAATGTATTTCTTATGGTGCTGCTTCGGACATAATGGAAGCTTCTTTATGGCCGACATATTGTACTGTATGCCTCACAAAAAGGTATATTCGTGTGGAAAGATCTCCACAGTTACAAATTTTCGCATTTCAAACCACATTTGGAGCATTTCAGGTTAGTATGTCATTACCAGTCAAATGGGTTGAATGGTATATAGTAGCATTTTAGCGTAATATTATCAAGTGTGATGAGAAACGTCCTTTTTTGATGATTCATGTAACCATTAAGGATGGGAAATGAAATAAGTTATTGTAATTTACCGATTATTTGGCCTTTTCGCATAGTTGTGGCTGCCAACTTGGATAATCAACAAACTTAAAATAAATAGCAGGTAATAAGATTTAAATGATATTGGAAGATTTTGAGATATCCCTTTTACATTAAAGATGAGAGGGAAGAAATTATAGCATACAAACCTTAAACTGCCCTTTATCATCTCAGAGACACCAGTGGGGGTCCGGCCCTCAGATTATCTTTACAGACGAGGGAGCAGCACATCCGACGAGACAAGGCAACCAGCAATATCTGCACGGCACAGGCACTTCTGGCCAATATGACAGGATTTTATGCCATATATCATGGTCCAGCGGGACTCAAGCAGATAGCACAGAAGATCCACGACCAAACACTACAGCTGGCCAGCCGTCTCTTGGAGCTTGGATATCGAGTAAACTTGACTTGAATAATAAATTGTCACAACTTAGGTCGCTTAAGATAATTTAACGATTGAGGATTGAAGTCGTCCACATTAAAATGAGAAGACCATTTAGTTTTATTTTTCGCATTTAAGTACCAGTACTACCAGTAAATCAGTAATATGAGATGTATTCACCAAATTTCGGTTAAGGTGATGAAGGACTGGTAGAATAATTTTCCCACAATGATATGCGTTGAACTGACGTTTCCATTGAATTTCACATTGCCTTGTTTTCCCAAAAGTTGTTCTCATCCAGGCTGGACTGCAGTTTCGACCTCGCATCGGTCTTAGCAACACCCCTAGCCAGAATCGAACCGTGACACTGCATAATGGAAGCTTGACACGTTAGCCAATCGGCCACATTGGCACTATTGCCTTTGAATCACACAGCAGATGGGAATTTCAAAGAAGGCCAGTCTTCCATCACCTTAATCGAAATTGTGTGAATACATCTCATATTAGTGACTTACTGCTAGTCTCGAAACAATACTTAAGTGCGAAAAATAAAGTAACGTTGTCGATTGGCATAGCAAATATACGTTTGCTTCATCGACACTCCCAACAGAGAATATGATATAGCAAAATGACTGGCCTTCCTTAAAATTCACATATGCTGGGAATGTTTATAAGACCGATGCGAAGTCGAAACTGTAGTCCACCCTGGATGAGAACAACTTTTGGGAAAGCAAGGCTTTGTGAAATTCAATGAAAACGTCAGTGCTATTCATATCATTGTGGGATAATTCTTCTACCAGTCCTTCATCACCATAACCGAAATTGGGTGAATACATCTCACATTTAGTTTTACTTGAAGATACATTATGAGACACATATATAGGTTAAATCCATCGGTTTCAAATTATTATTTAGATTACCCGATAGTCCATAAAAATACTCTCATCGCATATTAACTTTACAAATACAACTAATTCTATCCTCTCCTTTATAGCATCCCTCCATTACTCCTCTCAAGTTAATACAATTATCTTTCTTTTCTGGACTACTTATTGGTTAGAGTCAACCATCCATATTAACCTCAATCAGGACAACGAGAGATTCCTATTATCTGTCCTATTTTCAAATTCCCTTCTCGATCCTATCTTGCATAATTATTAACTAAAGGATGTGGCATCTCCTCTCGAAGCATATCAGATTCACATCTTCCATGCGAGGCGTGTGCTCGCCGTTTTAAGCCACAGCTGTTTTATTGCTCACTAAGGCTAGTATATTTCCTCTGCCTCCTCAAATCCACACTGAATCCTCTTGAGGGTGCGGATAAGACTTTGGCTAGATCGAACTTGGCTTATACTCTCAAAGATTAATCCCATTCGTGGTTGTATCAAGTATCAATGCCTGCTTCACCATAAGAAAAACGGTTCACTAAAAAAATGCTCAGATTTCTAAAAGCCACTTGGAGGATACCTGGTTAGCATCAGATTTTATCTAAAAGATTTCGCATTTAGCCCTAAAATGAAAAATCCTCCATACATTTATGGCTGCAAGCGAAATGTTTATGTTCATATATGACATCATACATATCGTTGTGATGCATTAAAAATGCAGCGTTGCTTAAAAAAGTCAGTTGTATAAAAAAAGGGTGCATAAAATATAAGGGTAGGGTGATAGCATAAAGATTTTAGCCGTCATTATATGAAGCTATTTCAAAGTAATTTTTATCCCATTTTGTGACTTTAGCACATTAATTTATAGGATTTTGTTGACCT